AATCAGGGATTACAGGATGGAGAAAGGGATTTCAACATCAAAGCCAGGTCTATTCTATGCTGCATGCGCCATATGCCAAGTAATGTATTACAGTTCACCTGCTGCTCTGCTCCCTCCTTTCCTGACCCTTTGGGGGGGTGTGAAATGCCTTGAATTGAGATCCTTTGGGGAAATATTAGGGAAGCATCCGTTGCTCAGTTCTGGGTTGAATGTTGTCTCAGTGCCGTGGGAAGGTGATGGCTATTTCCCATGTAGGTGCTGGTGGAAGAGAGAGGCTGAGGGAGGAGAAGCCACTCTTCATACCCACTCAGTGATTTCCAGCTCTTTTATCTCCGGGGAAGGGGTAAATCTGACATCACCCCAGTCTCAAGATTGAAGGATGCCAGCTCAGTTTTTCCTATTTCTGCAAAAAGCAATTTCTAACCAGCTTAGAGTTGTGCTCAGGTTAGTCAAAGCCACTTTATGGGGTAGGGGACATGCTCTGGCGTATTAGTTGGGATCAGCATGTCTTAGAGCAGCACAGACTGCTTTCTGGCATTTCTGACATGTCACTTTATAAATACACACAATCCATGTCAGGTGTTTGAACCCAAGAGAGCAATGTATTCTAGCTCTATGGCCCCACTCCTCCCATCGGGAAGCTTTGAATGTCACCTACATCAGAGGTGCAGGCACAATAAGAGGCACTCTTTTGTTGGGGTGTTGTTGAGAGGGCCCCTTAGGAGGGAAGCAGTGTCTACAGTGGGCCCCATGTGCAGGTGGTGGCAGTGTGGATTTTGAGAAATGTTCCATGGGGGCCTTTCAGGCTTACTGCATGGCTGCCTCTGGCTCTGTTCTCTCCTGGTGTTTAGTGCCCCTTAGGAAAAGACACAAGGTGAAAAAGGGAGAAACATTGGGCCTGCCTTGCAGAGATGAATTTGTGGATGCAAAACAGAGGTTAAGTGGAGTGGGTGTCATTCATTTCCGTTTCCTGCAGCTAGCTTTAAAATAAAAACCAAGAGCTGGGTAGAGTGACGCAGGACAGCTTCAGCTGGGGTTAGAGGAGATGTGGCCTGGTTAAGAGATTGCTTGTTATACCTGGGATTCAGGGCAGACAGGTTGCTTGTGAAGAGACTATTAGTTATATGTTGAAATACCACATATAATATGCCTTCTTCTAATTCTGGTATTAAACAAACCAAACCCTTGAAATACACTGCTTCAATCCATACTGGAACCTCATTCAGTATTATCCCCTTCCATGAGAAAGATAGGGAAACTTGAGCTCCTAGTTGAGAATGAAACAAATTTCTGGACTCCTTTGGGAGGAGGGGTTGGAAATGTGTATCCTATATTGCTGTTCCCAGCATCCCAAAGCACAGTGTAGAACAAAAATGATCAGCAGTTAAAAGCAGTAACAAAGGTACCTTCCAGTACTTCAGATAAAGTTGCAGAGTAGATGCCCAAGTTGGAAACATTCCATGGCCAAGGAGAACAATTATATAATGACCGCACTTCCATTGTCTGGTTATGATGAGGGCTAACTAAATAACCTGTTGTTTCCATACTCTGTGCAGGACCAGGTCCAAAAAACAGGTGAAATACACTAAGCCACGTTCACTAAAGGCCAAAATTTTAAATGTATGTAGGTGTCTGAAAATGCAGACAGGTGCCTAGTGGGATTTTGAAAGGCGCCTAAACATTTTTGAAAATCCCACTAGGTGCCTATCTGCATTTTAAGGTATCTAAATATCTTTTAAAATCTGTCCTTAAACTTATTGACTTCTATAAATAAAACATTTATCCACAGCTGATACAGTTATCTAAAACAGGGGTTATGTGGTAAGTCAGCCAATTTTCTATATTATCTTGACCTACTGCATTCTAGAAATACACCTCTACCCCATTATAACGCGGCCCAATATAACATGAATTCGGATATAACGCAGTAAAGCAGGTTCCGGGGTGGGGCAGGGGGGAGGAGCGGGGCTGCGCACTCCGGCGGATGAAAGCAAGTTCGATATAACACGGTTTCACCTATAACACAGTAAGGTTTTTTGGCTCCCGAGGACAGCGTTATATCGGGGTAGAGGTATAGCACAATCAGGAAGACTAGGAAACAATTTTACAGTAACTTAACCTTTCATAAACAAAGGCTTGTACTGACATTTTGAAATCCTTGCTGAACAGTTGCCTCGGGATACTTAGTAGATGGGTGGAGAAAAGGCGTACTAGTAATGTCTGGCAGGCCTATATCTAAAAAGGTGGGAAATGATCCTATATTTCTTAAAATTTCCCAGAATCAAATTGAAAGATCCAAGGGTCATGCATAGTGGCAGTAAATGCATGCAAAAATGACAGCCTAAATATCTAACTGATCACTTGTGTGCACACTTGTTGCACTTGCACAGCTGTGGTAATTGCACTTACAGATTGGACAGATGAGTAAGTGTGTAATTTGAATGTACACATAATTTGGAAAATGAGGGCCTGATGGGCAGTTTTGTTAGTTTCAAAACAAGTTCCACAGACTCTAGTTTGGGACTATCCATCGACTTGACTCAGGGAAGAATTTTCACTGGCATTGTTCTGAGAACACTGTACTAAGTCATGCAGAGTCTGCCTTTTTAAAATAGATGCAACTTAGTGTAATGAGACGTTCCCCCTACATTTGCAGTGAGTTGAGAGGAAGATGGAAATATCAGTCTGAGAACTGACGCATATTAAACTTGTGTTTGAAATAATGGCTCCAAACTATGCAAGTCTAAAAAGTAATCAAACAACTAGACCAAATCCTAGGCAGGTGAGCTGTATTCTAAGTATCACTGACTTGTAAGTACTTATGATCTTCAAATAAAACATGCCCAATAGGTCCCCTGTTAATTGTTAACTCTACGTCTTATCTCTGCTTCATGGCCTTTTTGCTAAGGTAGAGTGCAGTGTCAATTCCCCAGTGGCTATACCCTCTTTCAGGAACTAGAGTGGGCCTTAGTCAGGAATGGCTGTGAACTAGGGGGTCTTGTGGATTTCTATCTGCTGAGAAAATAGCAGTAATTAGAATTCAGTACTTATCTGTTCCAAGCGCTTGGCAAACATTAAAGACCAATATTCCCTGGTTACATGTGGACTGACTCCCCTCCCCAAAGGTGCCTGCCATTCCGTCACTCCCCTTGATTTGGATGGGAGCTGTGGGTGCTCAGCGCCAGGCCAGTAGCCCGTACTGCTTGGGAAATGCAGCCCATCCTCACTGCACATCTTAAACCAAATGAAGTCACTAAATAGTTCCCAAGGCTTTTCTCCCTTACGGCAAAATACTGAGCGGCTGGAAGAATATAGCTGTTCCATCTGCACTACAGGGAGTCCATGATGGCATGCTAATACCCCCTGCCAGACCTCCCGTGAGCTGGTGTCGCTTAGCCCTGTACGACCATGGGAGTCGTGAAACCTGCCTGTGGGTATATGGTGGATCTAAGATCCTACAGAGAGTGGTGCCACTTGTGTGCTTAGCTAAGATACATGTGGTCTGAATAAAGAGCAGAAACCATTCTTGATTTCCCTTCCTCTGTCAGGCCAGGGCAGAGTGAGAACAATCCGTTTTGTCAACGAGAGATCAGATATTGGGTTGTTATCCCCCTTCTTCTTTCAGTTTCCTCTTGATTCCTTTTCCCAGAAAAGCCCCTTCTGCTTTCAGCTCTGTACAAAGCATTGCTCTGCGAAGTGAAGCATTCTGTGGGTACTATGATGTCACTTTCTGGCTGGTTCCAGAGTTTCTCTGATCATCACTTGCCTGTTCCAGTTCTCCAGCTCACTGACTCTGAATTATTGGAGAAGCTGAAGGTCCTTTCTTCCTTGCTGTGAACTCAGGGGACCAGTTCAACTCAGTCTCAAGCTTCAAGGGTGAATAAGGATTTGGGCTGGGGGCTGCTTTGTTTCCAGCACAAACCGCATCTGTCTTTATTTTCAGGAGGAAGAGAACTTCCCCTTTCTAATCTCCCAGCCTGTGCTAGAGCTGATGGAACTGCAAAGTGGATTTTCCTGAAGGGTAGTGCAACGTTGTGTATTTAACACCCACGATCTGCAGTGGCAATTGCACTTGCAAAACAGCTGCCTGTTGGAAGGATGCTGCTGGCTATGAGCTGTTTGTCCAAAATTGTCAGCCCAAGGGCTGAATTGGCAGCTTTCAGTCCAAAAAATCTAGAATGGAAACAGATCCAGACTAGCGGCTGGTGTTTCTATAGTGAGTGGTCACTTCCATAAGTTCCTCTGTCTATCATCATAGACATCATGCTCAGCATGGTAGTGTGTAGACTCTTCTCTGAGCAGTTAAAGCGTGGATTGTTGATACTTGGGCAGATGCAGTCATTCTCTATTCTTCCCTCCTGTAACTGTGATCAGCCCGTATCTTCCACATATAGTTACACAAGAGCCTTTCAGGTGCCATTCCAGGCTGTGTTTTTAAAGGGGCAATGAATGTGCACCCACAAGGTTTGCCAGCTAATCTGTTTGCCCACATGCAAACTCTATAGTGTCTATGCCACAGAGCCCTTGTCCCTGAAAGCCAGGCTGTACTGCAGGTGCATTGTTAGAGGCCTTCAGAAAGTGTGTCCCCTGCTGTCTTAACTCTGAAGGCCCTTCAGAAAGACTAAATGAGATGACTGACACATCTAGAAAAGCCTCATGTTTCCTAATCAGTTACTGCTTCTACTTCCCTCTTTTTAGAATAGCTTTTCCCAACTTCTGCCCTCCTGCCGCTGCCACCGTCGGTGTTTCTGACCTGTGTTGAATTTAATCTTGCAGCCTACCACACCTTTGTGTCTGCCCTCCCCATTTTGTATTTTAGTTTAATATTTTTAGAAGTTTTCTCTGATTTCTCCCTTCCCCCAAGAAAAATTAAACAAACCCAAAGCGCATTGAGTAAGGGTTTTAAGAGGAAAGTGCTGTACTCCATCATGGTGTTGGCAGCATTACCAAATTAAATCTGCCAATTAGCCAGATGCCTGGAGCTCCTGAATTCTTCACCTCTGGACTTTTCATCTTTTCCTTCATTATCTCATAAGAGATAGTGGCATTTTCTTCTGTCTCTAAAGCAGAACCACTTGTTTCCATCCATTGGCATCACTGAAACTTGCTTATCTTCACAGCAGGCTGTCCATGGGCTTACACTTTCACTCAGGGAATCTGGATGGTTGTGTAGTCCTCAGAAAGTGATTTATATGAGTCTTTTTTTTTTTTAATTGCTTCCTATAAATCTAGACTTGGAGAGGAATATTTACAAAGGGGTAAACAGGGATCTCATCTGGCACCTCCAGATGCATTGCTGTGGAAGAAAAGGCCTTCACTCACCCCCCTCCATAGTCAAATGTGGCCTTGGGAATAGAATCCTGTCCCTTGATGCGCTTTTTCTTATGCTGCCCCTTTGTATGGAAAATATCATTTTCTCTACATATGTTAAAAGACAGAATGCCCCTGCTGCCCTGAGCAATGATTGCCCTGTGCCCAGCTAAATGCTGTCTTGTTTTTATATAGGTCTTGGTCTTCCCAGCTGCATGTAGGAGGGATGGTTTAGTCAGGTTAATTTTTTTATTTTTATGTTCATGTTGCTGCCAGGTTAAAGCCCTCAGTGAGTTGAAAACTAGCATGCAATGTATGGATCGTTCTTCTAAGGGTTTGTAAATGGTGCCTAGAGCTTGGGATGGGTGTTTGTTTGCGTCGTTAGTACATACCTCATTACATAAATAACTAGCACACCCAACTGGGGATCGGGAGAGCTGGGTTCTAATCCTGGCTTTTGTCTTGACCTGCTCTGTGACCTTGGGCAAATCACTTCGCTCCTCTGTGCCTCGGTCTTCTCATCGATAAAACAGGAATAATACTTTTACCCTCTTTTAGACTTAGCGCTATGGGATCTGTGGATGAAAAGAGTGCAATAGCAGCTAGCTCTTAGGATTATTATGTTTCTGCCATTGCACTTAATGCCCAGAGCGTAACCCTTTAATTTTAAACAGGATCTCTCTGCCCACCCCATCCCCGCCCCTTTTGTCTGACCTGTAATAATGAGAAAGCAGGGGCTTGCAGCTGGGAGCCCCAGTAGATTGCATTACGCTGTGACTTTGCACTTTAGAATGTATGTGCCTGACTCATGGAGTTTTGCTCTCGTCAAGGGCTGTAATGATACTCCCCCTTGGAAGGCCTAATAACCAGGGCTAAAACCTGTCATGCCTACCAACTTTACAGGCAGTGAGCTCATTTGTTGGTAGGGCTCTTCCTCTCTGGCTCTGGTCTGTAAATCTGGCTCTAGGATTTTGTTGCTTTTTATAGGGCTTCAAACTTGGGGGAAATCCTGGAAATGAACTTAATTTTTCTATTCATAAGAACGGCCATACTGGGTCGGACCAATGGTCCATCCGGTCCCAAATCCTGTCTTCCGATAGTGTCCAATGCCAGGTGAACAACCACATTGGTTTGGACAAGAGCTCAGGGGTGACCCTGGTGGAATGTTTTTCCTGAATCCTGCTGTTCTTCTTTCTAGGCTGGTCGTTGGAGGTGGTGGAGCTGTGTAAGAAATACCAGAACAATACGGTGGTAGCCATAGACCTGGCTGGGGATGAGTTGTTGGTGGCTGAGACCTTCCCAGAGCATAGGAAGGCTTATGAGGTTTGTTCAATGAGCTTCTCCAAAAATCTTGCATCAAATTCTTTCTGGCAAGTAGTTCAAACCAAAAATGGTCTGTAGAACTTAAAAATCATGTCTTAAAATTACTAGAAGTGTTTTATTGGCATAGGAGAAATATTGCTTTTAATTTGGTTTTTAAATTAATTATAGAGTATATACATGATTTAAGTATAAAGAGATGTGTTCCAGATGCATTTACCATTTTGATTCTGCAGCACTGGGCTGGTGCACAGAACCACAAAGTGAAATGGATGGTAAAATGATCCTACATTCAGATCCACCTGGGCGCTCCAGTGCCTGCATTGGGCTGCCTGCTTACGTTGCTTTGCAGGATCAGAACTCAATAACAAAGATGAAATTGGCTACTGCATCTTCACTGTCTCCAGCTGAGTAAAACGCAGAAACTAAATCAATCAGACAAAGAGTGTAAACATATGTTCAAAGTTTTTTCCATTGTAATAAACTAAGATGATGGTATTAGAAGAGATTTTGTTTCCTTTTAACTAGACCGTGTTACTTTACTGTAGCTTAAAAAGGAAGCCCCATGCAAATATCTCCCATCTGTATATAAGGATTTTAGGACTCTAGTGATGATTGTATTTTAAGAAGTTACATGATTGGCATAAGTCAGTGGGAGCTGAGGATGCTCAGGAACACAGCCTGAGAGGACACTGGATTTAAAAATAGTGCTGGGTGTCAGGTGATTGGTTGAGGTAAAATCAGGGATATCTCAAGGGTATACTGTTGTAGTTAATATTCCAACTGCCATCTGTGGTTGTCATGGGAATCATTACAAATGTCCTAATGTGAAGGCAAAAACTTGAGGGGGGAGAGTTTGGAAGAAATATACTTCGTTTTGCATGACCTTGAGCATGTGTACTTTCACAATCGGTGTCTCCTTGCATAAATGCCCAGTGCCATTTTGTAAATCCGTGCGGTTTCTCACTTGCTATCATCTTTCAATTAAGCACTTATTGATAAGATATTACTTATGTAGCAGTTTCTTATCCTTTCTAACATGCTGAAGTTCTTTGTCATGAGCAATAATCAAGCCGTGTACCTTCATCTTGTGCAATTGTTTTACCTGCTTTATACAAGACTAATCAATGAGTTGCTTATCATGCTACATCCAGGTAGTTTAAAGGCTGATAAAACAGGATGGAAAATAACAGTTTATCAATTAATATCTAGCTTGCTATGCGTGGGGTCTCAAAGTCCAAATTTCTCAACCCAAAGGATTTGAATTGTTCTTGTCTGAAAGTCAGTGTCTCATTCAGACTCAGAGAAACACGAAAGGAACAAAAGTTCCAATTTGTCAGGCTTTCTCTGGCGGCATGAAAGTAGAATGCTCCCTTTCTAAATTGCCCTCACATTGAAGCTTCACACACCAACAGTAGCATGGATAATATGACTTATGAAATGAGAGGCTTATGATGAAGGGATCAGATGTCTGCCTTTGGTGTTCCCAGTTTTCAGTTGTGGTGTCATTTAAACTCTGGCTGGCAGGAGTCAATGATTGTCACTACAATTGGGGATAGTAGGGGGAGTTCTGTTTGTGAATTGCCTGCAGTAGGTTGTGGGGAGATAATGAGCGGAAGCCATGTAAAGATCTTGAAGCTGTGACTCTAGATAATTAGCTGGTGCTAACCTCCTAGGTAAGTGATGTTATAAACCAAAGAAGCATGCAGAGAGAAATGGACAATCTCCTTGGTTGGGAAGTTCTGGGTTATTTAGAGCCAGAGGAGGTTGTTTGGAGGGGATGTCTTTACAGCAATCGGGGGGTATGATTGCAGTTCATGTAGACATACCTGAGCTAAGCTTTAATCCAGCTATCTCAGATCGTGGAGCAGTGAAGGTGTGAGAGCACGTGCTTCGGTGTGGACTGTAGAGACCTGCCTGTAACCCTGTGTCATTCTTGGGCAGCTACCCCACTCTGAAGCGTGCGCTGCTGCAGCTTCACTGCTCTGGAACCTGAGCTAGCTAGATTAAATCTAGTTCCCGTATGTCTTCCCGAGCTCCAGTTGCACCTGTGATTGCGGTGTAGACATACCCTGAGAGTGGAGGTGGGGGAGATATTCCTGGCTTCCCTCCTCCCCAGCGCACCCCCCCACACCCACAGAAATCTCTGTTTTCTAATCCGCATAGCGCACCAGGGGGGGATACATAAATGAACAATAAAAGTGAGCAGACACATTGGCTCTTAATTTGCTTCATGTGCGTGACTTTGGTAAAGTGAGCTGGCAAAATGATGGGAATTGGGTAGGCAGGGAGACTCGCTCTGTGTGTCATTGCCCCGAGAGCTGGCCTGTACATTTAACACACGTTGGAAACAAAATAGTGTTTAAAACAAAACTTTGTTTATCTTTAAGACCTTTGGCTTCAGAGCCACCTCCTGCATTCCTGGCACACTCAAAGCTCCCACAGACTTCAGCAGGAGTTTTGCCTGAGCACGGATTTTGTCTTGTTGACTCTGGGTTCTCTGAAACACATTCTCAGAGCCCTAACCTGAAGGCCCTGCCATGCTTCATTGAAGTCAATGGCAAAACTCTCATTGACTCTTACTTCATCAAACATAGGGATCAGTAGGAGGAGCATTGCGCTCTGATAGTTCAGAGCCCAGTCCAAAGCCCGCTGAAGTCATTCCATAGATTTCAGGGGGGGTTGGATTAATCTGTTCATCCTCAGAACGCCCCAAATTAGCAGTTTCTGACATGAGTGAAAGGCCAGTGTGAAGGGAAGGGAGGGTAAGCTTAGCCCTGACTGAATGGTCAGCCTTTGGGGTAACTGTCTGAGTCCCTGTTCTGTGCAGGACATACAACAAGTGTGTGTTAAAACAAAGCTATCACTGCAGACACAGGGAGTCTCGATTTAATTTCAAATAGACGCAACTAGGCTTTTCTTATTAACATACCAAGCGGAGCCGTGTCTTACCCAGTAGTTCAGAGCGGAGCCTGGATATGCAGTGGCTGCAAACCAAGTGGAAAATTCAGAAAGCATGTGAAAAATTCAGTAATACAAAACAGCAACTTCCTGAAGGGGGTGTGTGTACGTGCATGCTGCCTCTGGTAAAATCCCTATAATATCAGCTCAGTGCCCATTTCCACACTCAGGACTTTTGGGTTTGGGATTTCCCGGATCCGTAGAATCCTGTTTAGTCACTGATGAAAAGTGCCATGCTGAGAGCCTCTGAGACAGCAGTTCCTCCTCTCTAGAACAGGTACGGCTCAGGCGACAGCAGTGGGAATTTCCCCCCTGCCCATCACCTCAGCCAGCGTACCTCAAGGGGAGGAGAATCTCCAAGGCTCAGTTAGTCCTTGGTCTATCTGCTGAGACTGCCAGCAAGAGGGATAGTTGTAGTTGTGGGGTGTTTGTGTGATGTGGACACCAGGGACTGGACTGAGACTCACCAAACTCGCTGCATGTGGACTATGAATAACTGCCAGCTGGTGACTGCTTTCATTGCCTAGTGCAGGCTGGGCTTCCCAGACACTCACCTACCCAGCTCCTACGCTGTCTGAGATGGGTCATTGATTTTCTTCTCGTTTTGATTGTGGTGCTCCAGTCGTTACTCCTGGGGTTGGAGCGCTTGGCTGCTCTAGAGCTCTCAGCCTAATGGTCTGTTGAAAGCATTCGCTCTGTCTTGAAGGCAGCGAGTAGTCGGTGGTGGGGCTGCTGTCCTGATAGTTTGTTCACATCCCTTTTCCCCCCTCCGCCTCCGCCTCTGTGTCTCCCTAAACTCACAGCAGCGTTTTCACTCTTTACTTCATGTGGGCTTTTCCAGGAAGCTGAAAGATGTGGCATTCATCGCACTTGCCATGCTGGGGAGGTTGGGTCACCGTCTGTCATCAAGGAGGTAAGAAACCCCAGGGCAGGGCAGTGGAATAAGTTACAGCAGAGCTGCAGAATACTCTGTATTGTAATGCAGGGAACAAAGGTAGCTCGGGCCAAATCCTGGCCCATCACTCAGTAGCCCCTGGGAGCCAAATCCCCCCATTGCTCTAAGGGAGCAGAGTCTGTGCATCATACAAAGAGGGAGCCGGAGATGGAGCCTCATATAGCGCTCGGAAGGAGCAGGCCCTCCTAGGAGCTGGGCCCCCATGTCATGCAGGAGTGGATTGGAGTCCTGGTATGGGGCTTGGAGGGCTCAGGAGCTCCTGTGGGCCTGCCTGATCCTCTGGGGAGCAGGAGTCAGGCCCTTGCACAGAGCTGAGACTTTACATGTTTTCTATTCTCTACAGGCAATCAATGTTCTGAAGACAGAACGGATCGGCCACAGCTACCATGTCCTGGAAGACCCAGCCCTTTATAGGGAGCTGTTGAGTAGGAAGATGCATTTTGAGGTAATGACTAATTCTGCAGGGGTGGCAGTTGTGTAGCATTTGCCTTGTTCTGACTGAGAGATCTGCCCTCGTTTGGGTTGCATGACAAGTCAGCACTTTGGATAATGAGCATGGACATAAATGCCTTTACTATAGGGGTGAAATTGCTGCCACCTGGAGTCCAAGTGCTGACAGCGTTTGGAGTGAAATCGGCCCACCACACCACCGTTTGTATTTAGCTGAGGCTCTTGATGGAAACCAGACATACAAGGCTCTAGCATTTGGCTGACTGGGCTGGTGAGGGGATACAAGTTTGGATCCCTCTCTGTGCTGAGTGCCAGAGGTCACGTCATGCTCAGCCTTGGGGAAAGGGGGCCATGTTTATCTAGTCCATCTTCAGCTGATGCTTGGAGCAGTACTGGCTGTCTGAGTTGAGAGATACCTTTACCTCTTCCCAGGCAGAAGGTGAGTGGCCAGGGTGTTAGACTCACAGGAGTCACCAGGATGGATTAACTCTCCTGTGGGCCCTGGGCTATTAGATTTTGTGGGGCCCCTGTATACAAGTCTTTTTCCTAATTTAAAACAAAATGATCACAATTATGGCATTGAGGCTATTAACACTATACTAAACTTGCCTTTTAATTAACATAAAGCCATTCTGTGGTTACATTTCAGTCTTAAAACATGTAGAATATAGTTAAGTTAATTCAAAATAGCTGTTCTAAGGTAAGAAGTAGGGTGTTATATTAGTTTCTTTCTGGGAGGGAGTTTGGGTGCAGGAGGGGGCGCCAGGCTGGGGCAGAGTGTTGGGCAGGGGTCCTGAGCAAGGTGGGGCGGGGGTGGCTCTGGGCCCCCAGAAGGGGAGGGTCTGACTTCCCCAGCCAGACCTTCAGTGCTGCCCGGCCCGTGCCGCCCAGGGCTCTGGCCTCAGTTTAAAGGGCCTGGGGCTCTGGGCTATATTTGTCAAAATAATACTATATAATCATGCCAGTTTCAATTATTTTAGTAATTTATTTCAAAATACCTGTCAGCACCTACGTCTGTAACAATACAGACAACACAGAAATTCCCCACGGAGTAGAGAATTAAAGAAACCCCTACGACAACCCAGTTCCTGTTTCTCTGCCCCTTCGCCCCCAGATCCCAGTCACGGGGCGTCCCCCCAGAGCCCAGCTGCGAGGCCCCGTTAGTGCAGTCACCTGCACCCCCTCCGCCCTATAGCCCAGCCCACCCCACATCCCCTACCCCTCAGAGCCCAGGGATCCAGAGGGAGAAACCACCTGATTCTGTACGCTGCCTCCTTCCTGTGGGTCCTGCTGAGAACTGCAGCTGTGGGAAACCCTCCTGCTCCCCCCGGCAGTGTCTTCTATTTGTGAGCTGGGCTCTGCCGAGTCCAGCGGCCCCTAGGGGTATCCAGCAGCTCTGCAGCCCATTTCTATGCAGGGGGGTGGGGGCAGGGAAGGAAATTCTGCACGCACAACATTAATTTCTGTGCAAATTCTGCATTGCGCAGTGGTGCAGAATTCCCCCAGGAGTGTTTAGTGTAAACTAACCAATAGACCCATCCTGAGCAGATGGCTGTGGCAGAGGTGAAAGTAAGCCGGTCTGGTCCGATACGGTGTACCGGCAAGAGCCAGTACGCCGTGCCGGACTGCACCGGCTTCCGCGGTGGGGATTTAAAGGGCTCTGGGCTCCCCGCAGAGCCCTTTAAATCCCGCCCACAGCTCCGGCAGCCGGGCTGGGGCCGGGATTTAAAGGGCTTGGAGCTCCCTGCCACTGTGGGGAGCCCAGAGCCCTTTAAATCCCGCCCGCAGCTACGGCGGCTGGGCTGGGGCCGGGATTTAAAGGGCTCGGAGCTCCCGCCGCTGTGGGGAACCCAGAGCCCTTTAAATCCCGCCCGCAGCTCCGGCGGCTGAGCTGGGGCCAGGATTTAAAGGGCTCGGAGCTCCACAGCAGCCGGAGCCCCGGGCCCTTTAATTTGCCCCTGAGCCCCGGGGGCTCCCAGCCACCTCTGCAGCTGGGAGCCCGAGGTTGATGTAAAGGCTCCCAGCCACAGCCGGTGCCCCAGGGCCTTTAAATCTTGAGAGGCCCCGCCTCTTCCGGTTGAGGCCATGCCTCTTCTGGATGAGCCACGCCCCCCTCAGGACTCCGGCAGTACCGGTAAGTCCTGTAAGTTACTTTCACAGCTGGACTGTGGTCACTTTCCTAGCCAAGGTTTAATTTACACATGGCAATATCATAGGTCACTGCTCCCTCCAATGGGGGTTGTTCTACCAGTATGGCTGGGGTGGGGTGGGAATGACAAGGGGCTTCTGTACATGGGCAGAAACACGTAGCAAAAAAAAAACAAAAAGCGTTCAAAAATGTTTATATCCAGCTAGCATGGGAGTAAATGCTGGTTGCAGAGGCTGGGATTTGATGATCATTATTGTTTGCACCGAGCTGTAAATCTACATGGTGCTTTTCAGGCCCAGCCCCTGCCTGGAGAGCACCAAAACTTGTCTCTCTGTGCAGCATTATTATGGAAGAGACTGACTTTGCCTTTTTCCCCCCTACACATATAGACATGTCTTTTGTGCAGTGTCCTCACCGGAGCATGTGATCCAGACTTTAGGAAACACCCAGTAATTCAGTAAGACGTTTAAATATATTATTTTCAAGTAATTAACTCAGACTTCACTTATGTATAGCAGCCTTATTACTTCACATGAACCAAGTTCTAACCATTTGTCAGAGTATTGTGCATCAACTAAGGGACCAGTTCAGAGGAGCTGTAACAAATATGCTGATAGATTTTTATCCTTAAGGAGAGCTTTCTGCCCGCCTCAGGCCCCTGTTCTGAGCTGACAAGGGGCTAAGCCCTGGATTGCAGTGCATTGCTATCTGGCTCTGGAGTGGATAGTGGGGCTGGGCACTTTGAACATCTGTGCAACAAATGGTTTGTTGTTGTATTTAAAAAGTAGGAGGGTGAATAGCAACGTGAAGTTTTGGAATGCAAACTATAACTTTGATAGGAATTTGTTTATCTAGCTGGATACAAAGTAACCAAACTGGGTGGAAAACTGTGGGGGTTTTTTCAGTGTATTTTACACTTGGAAAAACACAAACTATGCGAACTCTAATATTTGTCCCTCTTTAAATTGTTTTCCCAGGTTTATGAATGATAAAGCCAATTACTCCCTGAACTCTGATGGCCCGCTCATTTTGAACTCTACAATTGAGACTGATTACAAAATAGCAAAGCAGTTCTTGGGCTTCACTGAAGAGGAGTTCAAGAGAGTGGTAAGTTGTCGTGGGATGTTCTGTGCAAAGTTGCGTGTTGGAGCCTAACGTGATCCATCATTTCTGAGATAAATCTAATTTTTAAACATGAAACCGGAAGAGAGTTCAGTGGAGTTAAAACTGTGGGGAGAAAAAGCTGAATTATGTGGGGCACAACAGCAGTTTTCAACAGGAGCGTGCAATTAGCCCAGTGTAACTGATATGCAAACCAATTGGCTACAAAGTGGCCATTTCCTTTTGCCATTACTTACAGGGTCACATGGTGTCCGTCGTATTTTTGCATGCAGATGGGCATGTGCAGTGTCCTGAAAATCTAATAATTCTGTTTTTCATCTGCCTTGTACCTAAAATAAAGGGACCGAAAAAGAGTCTGATAGAATTTCACTTGTTTGTGGGTAACCTCTGATGCTTTCCTGTTTCCCCGTTAGAGGTGCACTGGGTTGAAAGGAGATATGTACTGTCCAGGCATTCATGCATCCTACCATATCTTGGAAACCAGCTGATTTCCTTTGTGTGTGTGTTGGAGCTGAATTTGCAGAATACAGCTTTGCAGGAGAAAGCACCGGGCCTGTATCACGGGCCTCATTTAAGGAGCAAGAGTCTGTCTTCCTGGAGAGTAGACTTATGCTTTAGTCCTTCCTTCCAGCTGTAGAAAGCTCTGATCTTTATGCCGTTAAATCCATGGGCAGTTTTGCTACAGGCTCCTGCAGAAGATGAGCTGTTCCTTTCTGTTTAATGAAAGGAAGCTTATAAATTAAGGAGAGAGACATTTCTGTAAATTGTTAAGGGAAGCCAGTAGTGAACTTAGTTACAACAGCAGCATATCAGGCAGGGCCTGATCCAAAGCGCACTGAAGTCAATGAGAGTCTTTCCCTTGACTTTAATAGGCTTTGGATCAGGCCCCTGAACTGCACATCCTGGAACCCGATAAAGGAATTTAAGATACATTGTTTATCTCTTGCTTTTTTTTAAGCCCCTTACAAACACTGGGTAGGAGCAGGTTCCTTTGAAAACTGAGGCTGCTGAAAGGAGCTCAAGAGTAGCAGTGCTAACAAAAGTGCTCATTTGACTTACACCAACTCACTCACTAGCTCACACTCACTGATGCACAAAGATTTGCGCACGCACAACCCCACACTCACACGTGTGGGTATTACCCAGCTATAGCTGTATTTTTTTTTTCTTTTCCTCCCAGAACATCAATGCAGCTAAGTCCAGCTTCCTGCCTAAGAAAGAAAAGAAGGAGCTTCTCAGTAAGCTGTATGAAGCCTATGGGATGGTCCCGAACAACCCATCCTAATCCTGCTTCTCCCAGCCGGCAAGGTGCATTCACCTCTCCCCATGTGTGCTCGACTCCTCTTTGTTTTAGTGGGAGCATAGGAGGAGGAGATGCCATGGCACCAGCGCATAATACTGGTATTATTATGCTGAGCTTTACAGTCCGAGGCATACACTATAAAGCAGTATTTCCATGGTTCCTACCATATATACCTACCTACAACACCCACGTACTAAATAGATATCTGATTTCCTATATTTCTGACTCTCAAATGTACAGGTGGAGTTTTCTGGTCTGATTCCATTGTGGCTTATGCCAGTTTTACATCCTGGTGTAAATGAGAGCAAAATAAGGCCCTGTTTCTTTGTGGTGGTGGTAACAACATTTTGATGTGACTTTTTGGTGCTCTAGTTCCATTGCTGATCTACCTTAGTCCCTCTCTGCACTACAAAAGTAATCATGTTGAGCAGCAGCTGTGGTCAAACCATGGTAGAAGACAGGTTTTTTCCCCCCACCTTGCTTGTGTGCGTCGAACTGGGTGAAATTATTTCAGCAAATAGTTTATTTGCTGAAAAATGCAGCTTTAGTCTACTGATCAGACCTGACTGGACCAGGACCCAAGCTGAGCACAGCTGACTCGAGAGTGTCAAGTCTTTTTTGGAACAGACCTCCTGAACCAGTCCCCATCTGCATCATCACCGCCATCACCTTGTCCTTAGGGCTCAGCCTGGTAGGCGTTGGCCACTCCCGACTCCTCCTCTCTGGTCACCTCCTGCCCATGGTGATGCCTGCATGTCCCCCTGCCAGCTGCCCCCACCTCGCTGCGCTGAGTGTGCTGCGAAGTGGGAGGTATTGCAACTTGTCAGCACGCCCAACCCAGAGGGTCAGGTTTTTTCAGATCTGACCCTGACAGACCTACTCTTCTTCCTTATGAGGAAGAAAGAATTGAACGTGGGTCTCACACATTGCAGGAGACCACCCTACCCATTGGGCTATGGGATATCCTGGTGTGGGGCTTTCTCCCTCTCCCCTGTGAAAGCTGTTCTACTGTATGTAAATAATTAAATAGTCATTAGAGCTGGGACTTCAACTTGGGCCTCCCACATGCTAGGTGAGTGCCCTAACCACCAGGCTACCAAGTCATTTTCACTTTCTTCCCAGCCCAGTGACTCTTCATTGTCATGCGAAGTGGCAGTTCATAGTCCTTCATGGAGACATTGAAAGTAAGTGAGAATGACTCTATATCCTGATGGGTAGGGCACTTTGCTGCAGTGCAGGGAGACCTATTCAAATCCCTTTTCCACATCTGACAGAGGGGGAACTGAGCTCAGGTCTCCCACCACTGGGCTAAAGGTTAGAAGTGAGGTGGTCATCCCCTCCCCCCAACCCCCCCCTGCATTTCATGATTTCTTCTTTGCTTTTGACAAATGCCCCAAATTGAAAAAGGTCATGTTGGAATGAAACCTTTTGCTTCAACTTGACTTTTCAACTTTTTGAGTCACCAATTTTTTTTTTTTAAATACTTGTTTTCAATTCAACCCAAAATGAATTTTTTTTAATTGTCTCAGAATGGCCAGTGAACCGAAAAATCCATTATTCACCCAGTTGTAGTGTGCATGTTATAATCATACGAGAGAACCCTCTTCTGACACTGGTAGATACCTAAATAAATAGTTTATTCACCATTTATTCTTGTTTGTATGGATAGAAAAGACAGTGTTAAAACACAGTTTGGCCATAACGGTATGTAAACAAGGTTTATTTTGTATTGTAAATGGGGACTAAGAAAATGGAAAATGCAGCAGTGGTTGCACTTAGGCTTTTTGGTTGCAGAAATACAGTAACTTTTTTTTTTTAATTTAGCAATTATTTTGTACTTCTTTTTATTTATTTTAAAAAAAAATCTGTGTCGCAAGACCTTAAATCTCCAAAATGTCACTGCAGATGAGAGCATATAGCTTGGCTTCAGGACACCAGAGGGTATGTTTGGGGAGTCCAGAGGCCTCCAGAGGTTTGCTGCATGTACATATAAAGTTAGTGCACATGTTTACAATTTCAGGACAAAATTCTCCTCTCAGATTCTCCACTCCAGCATTCTGCACTTCACATGTGAGTCAGACTCCCAGGGGCTGAATTTTGCTGTCACTCTGTTCTATTTTTGTTTTGTTTTGGGGTTTTTTTTTAGATTCTTAAAAATGTGGTTAACGTCTATGTTCATTCTTTCTGCCCTCTTTCTGACATAAGGTAACCTTCAGGCACTATTAGTAGAACTAAGTGAATAAACTAATGAGCATACTGTATATAGTTAAATGTCCCAGCTGCCACAAGTGTTTCAGAAGGTACTTAGCAGAATTCTTGCTGGAAGTCCTGTCTTTAGTATGTTTGAGAATTTACAAAGAAAATATTAACATAATTCCAAAGCCATTTTGCTGCATTATGACACTGTTCTCCTTTTTATGCAAAGAAATGATTGCATGTTTGGTTGACTGTAGGTTTCAGATACTTTTACCTCCGAAGAGTTTGTAAACAGGGCTGAGGAAACTGGGGGGGCAGGGAGTGGGGAGAGCTCCAGTATCACAAGTGGCTGCAAAGACCTGGACCCCAAAGCAACCAACACCAAAAAGTTGCCTTTGATTAAGGGCTGCGTTCACCATTCTCCTAGACATTGGAAGACGGCTGGGATTTACTGCTCTGATTTCAGACATCAGCAAGCCAGTGATGGGCTGCTATATTGATTTTTATAAATGAATACAAAATGCTCTTCTCTTAAATACATTGTGAGTATATACACAAATATATAAATGAATTATTTTTTTAAAGCCAATGATAAATTGTCAGTGTTAAGAATGATTCTAACATTGCCACCCACAATCTTTTTTTGTTTGGAAATCTCTCTTCAGAAATAGCTTGTGAGAAACACCTGTTTGCATTCTGGAAACTCTAAGTGAAATGTTGTTCTGGTTTAATAAAATAACTTTATATTTAAAAAAATAATTTTATTTCTAATTTCTGCTTAAAGAGCTAAAGGGAAAGTGTCAAATTCTGCACCATAGTTCTAGACAAATGTGACCCACATTGTTAGAACCTGGGGGATAATGGGCTCTGCGATTATATTTATATATAAAATAGCATGTCATCAAAATATTAAAGATAAAACATCTACCTACTGACCACCATCACTAGCTGCTGTTTTGACAGGACCTACAAAAAAGTAACCTGTTGTGAATTCTTCCTTACTGTAGTTCTATGGGTAACTTTTTTGAAATTTCCTCTCACCTCCATATCCCTAGGGCATCTGCAGCAATCACAAACAGTGGTGGAATCTATGCAGTTATCCTGAGTGCCACAAGACGGGCTCTGGTTGCTTGAAGGGAGTCCCAAAATTCGAGGTGGGATGGATGGAAGCAGAGGTCAGGATGAACCTATTCTCCCATTTAGCAGAAGTGTAAATTGGGACTAGCGTCACTGAAATCACAGGAGTTGCACCATTATAGAATGGATGCATCTTGGATCAGAATCAGGCCCTGGGTGTAGACATGGCAGATGTCATTCAGTAACTTTTAGGCCTGACTTTTTTTTTTTTTTCCTCATAATGGTACAAATCAGGAGTAACTCCCTTGAAGTCAGTGGAGTTACACTGGTGTGGGAGGAGACTCCTGTTTGAAGTGCAAACGCGTCTCTTGTTCAGACATTGCAGGTTCACAACTTCCTCAGCGCTGTCGATATGAGCTGTTCCAATTTCACACATCGTTTCCCCCATTATGCTCAAAGAAAGAGACATGTCACTGCCAGAAGTGACAGTGTTATTACTGGGCACTGGGCTGTGATTTTTCTGGCATGCAGTCCAAAAACAATGTTTTGTTTGGTGTTTTTTCCCTTCTGAGCTGTGCAGAATTAATCAGAGCTGTGAGGGAAAGCTGAACTTGGAACTGTTCCCTCTGCAGCCAGTTAGATCCTAGTGTCAGCTCACTTTTGGAGGCCTGCTTTTGCAAGGGTCTTCCACCACTATGTGTCCGTGATCAGAGTTTCACTTGCACTTCCCATTGAAGTCAGTGGGAGCTCTGTGGGCCCAGCATCTCTGAAAGCCAGGCTGTTACTGAATAATATGATGTGCTTGTTCTTTCAGCATAATTGGTGATGGCAGCTGACATGTAGGGTGACTAGCATACTTCCCTATGCTGAATACTGGACACCTGGTAAAATTACTTGTACTGTGTAGTACAAATGTTTAGATTAACATCAAGTTGACTGAGCCCCCTTTAAAAAGAAATACAGCGTAGTTGGAGTCTTTATCATCTCCTTATCTTTAAGGCTTTAGGGTTCACACTAGGGATATAAATACCATTTTAAAAGTTAACCGTTTAAACGATTAAAAATGTCATTTAAAGCATTAACCGATTAAGCGACTGGGGCTGACCCCACTGGCGGGGCGGGGGCCAATCCTGCCGGCACGGCTGGGCCTCTCCAGCTGGGGCTGGGGCTGCTTCTCCCTCCTGCAGAGGGCTGCTGGGGCTGGTGCGGGGTTAACTGTTAAGGTGGGTTAAGCAGTAAGACTGTTGCTAACCGGTTAACCTTTTACATCCCTAGTTCACATGGGGAGAGACGATACATACACCCCTTCCCCCCACACACAAGGGGAGAGGTCACACATACACACACCCCCCCCCCCCCCCCCCCCCCTCGGGGGGGGGGGGGGGGGGAGGGCGTGACTGACCAACCCAACCCTCCCTGCCCAGTGCTCTCTGCCCTCCATGCCTGGCTGGACCTCCGGGATGGACCAGCCTCTCCTGGTACCTAGCGCTGTGTCTTCCCATGGCAACACGTATGGGGGAGGAAGGGTCACATTTCCCCCCACCCCCAGATTTCTTCCAGGGTTCACCCCAGAATGTGGCCAGTACCAGCCTTTCAGCACCATGCGGGAGGGGAGGGATGGGAGCTGCTTCCAGCCTCAGGGGGAGGAGGGGCAGTGGAAGGGATGACCTGGCCTGTGTCTTTGCAGAACTCATCTCTTCCCCGCTCTGTCTCCGGTCCCCTGTGGCTGGAAGCAGCTTGTGCCTTCCTCCCCACACAGTGTTGAAAGGCAGCTAACGCCTCCAGGCTGCTGCTGGCCACTGACATAACCCACCTGCCTCTTGTCCCCTGGCTACAGCGTGGGCAGGAAGGGGTTAAGCCCTTAGGATGCATTGTGTATCGGGGCCCAGGGAACCTGACTGCAGGGGGTTCAGCAAACCCGGCCAGAGAGGTGATTCAGCAGGGGAGGGTGCCTAGGGGATGGGGCAGCCCCAGGCTCCCTGGGGGTAGGATGCAGGGTGGGGAGGAGGATGCTAAGCCCCTGCCCCGGGGGCTGCTGTGGAGACTGCAGGTTTGGGGCATGAACAGGCTGGAAATCGCTTTCCCCCTGCCAAGCCAGAGCTTAGCTGGGAGGCAGAGAGGCTTCCCTGTGCCAGCGCTGTGTGGGGCTTTGGCACGGGCAGGGCCGTGCCGCAGAGTCGGGCTTTCCCAGGGCACCAGCCGAACCAGAGGCAGTGGGGGCAGGAAGGAGCCTGCCTGCCAGGCTGTTGGTGAGCTGAGCCAGGGGCTGGTTCTCTGCACAGCACTGGGAGCGGGATGCGCCCTGCCAGGGGGGTATGGAGGAGCAACGGGGCTGAGGGGTGTTGTGAAGGGGCAAAGCAGGGGGGACAGTGAGAGGGGGAGCATGTAAAGGGCCGATGGGTGGGCAGCAGAGACAACACATAACCAGCTGGCGTCTGGCGCCTGCCCCGCCTGCAATCCCCAGGCACCGCAGCTCGCAGTGCACAGCCAGTGCTGGTCGGAGATGGGATGGGGCCCTGCTCATTGAGAACTGGCACGCAACAGGGGCTGCGCTGACAGACCAGCAGGGGAGCGCCTGGCCCGGCACGCAGCATCTTTACCCTGCCACCAGCCTTGTACACCCATCCCCATTGTCGGCCACTGGGCCCTCCCACTCTCTGCTGGTGGATGGGTGGCTGCCGAGCAAGGATCCGGCCAGCAGCAGGAGTGGACCCACCACTACTGGGGAGGGGATGGGTGGGGGCTGGGAGGAGACAGAAAATACGGGACAATTTGCCCATTTTAAAGAAAAAGTTGGGACACTTGCAGGAGGGCTTAAATACGGGACTGTCCCTTTAAAAATGGGACATCTGGTCACCCTACTAACATGGGTCTTATGCTCGGAGGGGAAACCTGATGCCCCCTGTCTTTCCTGTCCCATTGTAGTGCTGATTTTGGGTAAAAATAACACTTGAAGGCACACTCTATGAGCTGAGAGACCTAAGATTTGCCCATCCCTTGTAGTGCTTGAATTTATAGATGTATGTTATTCTGTCCTCTTCTCTGCCTGGCTGCTCCCTTCTTGTGAGCATGTGGGAGACTGGATGAACAGGAGACTTGGAGATTTAAAGGCCAACTCTGCTCTTACTGGAGTCACTGAGAACATGGCCAGGTTGCCACTGACTTCAATGGGAACAAGAGCAGGCTCTTACATGCCATGTCGGAGCAAAGTTGGCAGCATGATCCAGCAGAAGCTGATTGACATGGGTTGGTTGTTGGATTGTAAAACAAAACAAAACAAAACAACAAAAAACAGATGCAGCTTCTGCCTAGCTGCCAAATCCTTGTTTTCTAGGGGCTTCAGAGCCATAAATGTCTCTGTCCTGGCTCCACAGCCATCTCATTTCTTGGGCTCCTTGGAGGTTTCCTGCTCTGTCTGGCAGCACGTTCCGACCTCGTTTATGGCCTTGTTTGGTTTGATAAAATTTGAACTCGTAACATTAAGTTCTCCTCTAATTTTCCTGTTGCCAAGAAGGAGATTTTGTGTTGGGTCACCATGTGAGAATGTTTCTCTCTCCCTTTCTGCCTCAGCCTAGTCACACTCTTTACAGCTGCTTTAGTGCTAGTGCCACGGTCTACATAGCGTGGGAGAAATGCCATTGTGGGTTAGTGTGGCCCAGTGATTACAGCTCCTGTTTTGTGGGAAGTGGGGTTGGGGTGGCGTGGGGGTGCAATGCACTTGTTCCATTCCTGGAGGTGGCATGGGGTCCATTCATTAATCTTTGGGAGACATGAGAGGAAAACACAGCATGGGATTCCAGGTGGGCTTCTGTCCTCTTCTGGAGCCCTAATTGCAGCATTTCCTTTAGCACCTTGACCTTGGCCTCTCAGTCAAGACCTGAGCCAACCCAATTGTGCTGAGCATATGAGGTTGGACCCTGAAGGACCTGTGCTCCAAAGTTCAAATTAAAATCCTAGAGACGATAAATAACCACTGCCAGGGCAGCTGCTCTCTAGCAAATAGGAGGACATCAGTGTCAAACTAGTGGATTGATTTGCATTTATTGAGCCCGGCTTCCAGTCCACTCTCAGCTGGAAGTTGCTGCGGCACTTGGGAGCATATGAAGCTGGACAGCACTGATGTCATTTGAAATAGCTCCTTGCCCTCTGTTCCCAACATAGATGTGATCTAGTGTGATGAGTTTGCAATTCCACATTTCAGGGGATAGAAGTGGGGGGAAGAGACCATTGCACAAAAAAACCCCACTTAACTTTATTATCTGAGAGTTGTGTGTTCTTTATTACAACAAGCGTATAGTTTATCAAACAATTTTTACCATGAAAAATGTCTCCAAAGAGAGAGCGTGTGAAACTTTTCCAGAAAGAAATATCTCGGAGCTGGATGGAACCTGGAAGAAATTAGTCTGAATTTTGTCAACTGTCAAAACACACAGAAAGCCTCTTTTGCCCTTCTTCTAACGGTATCTTAAAACCCTACGACCCCAAATGGTGCCCGTGTGTGTGGTGCTGCTGAGCCTGCAGGTAGAGTTTGTCCATGCACCTGTGAACTTTGGTCCTTTTCTGATTCTCAAAAAGCAGCAGCACAGATTAATAATGTTCAATATTAGTGCAGCAGGAACTGCCGTCACCCCTCCCCAGCTGATCCCCATGACTCCAGGTGTCTGTGTAGGCAGCGCTAAATATCCGTTCACCTCTAAGCTGGATACAGAAGGAAGGTGAAGTAAGGGAAGCAGCAAAACCTCTAATCTGTGGAAACAGGAAATAAATAAATAGTCTAAATTTACAGAGTAAAAATGGTACCTTATACAGTACAGGCTGAAGTGTATCTTTTACTGAAATGACATTTTCCTATAGAGGAAAATTGCTACAAATCACCTTGAGAGTGGGTCATGTGACTATCACCAGTGCAGTCTTGGTTCTTCTAAGCTCTTCTAGATGGGAACAGAGTTCCGTAGATGTACTACTCACTGATGAGCTTCCTATAGGTATCTGAACAGAATGGTCGCAGCAGAGGCATTTAAAGGGAGAATTCATTGTTCTGGTTTGGCTCTCAGTTGTCAGCAGATTTGATGGAATGTTCCCATTGTTAGTGTCTACAGCAGGGCTGTCAAGCAATTAAAAAAAATTAAACAATAATAGGCTACCATTTATTTAAATATTTTTGGATGTTTTCTACATTTTCAAATATATTGATTTCAATTACAACACAGAACACAAAGTGTACAGTGCTCGCTTTATATTTATTTTTATTACAAATATTTGTTCTATAAAAACAAAAGAAATAGTATTTTTCAATTCACCTCATATAAGTACTATAATGCAATCTCTTTATCATGAAAATTGAACTTACAAATGTAGAATTATGTAAAAAAAAACGGAATTCAAAAATACAAAAGAAAAAAATGTAAAACTTTACAGCCTACAAGTCCACTCAGTCCTACTTCTTGTTCAGCCAGTCACTTAGACAAACAAGTTTGTTTACATTTGCAGGAGATAATGCTGCCCGCTTCTTGTTTACAATGTCACCTGAAGTGAGAACAGGCGTTCTCATGGCACTGTTGTAGCCAGCGTCGCAAGATATTTACGTGCCAGATGCGCTAAAGATTCATATGTCCCTTCATGTTTCAACCACCATTCCAGAGGATGTGTCCACGCTGATGAGGGGTTCTGCTTGATAATGATCCAAAGCAGTAGCAGTGCAGATCGACGCATGTTCACTTTCATCATCTGAGTCAGATGCCACCAGCAGAAGGTTGATTTTCTTTTTTGGTGGTTCACGTTCTGTAGTTTCCGCATTGGAGTGTTGCTTTTTTAAGACTTTTGAAAGCACGCTC